CAGAGAGGTCAGCCCTTACCCTGTTTCACATTCCACTCTCTTGCCCAGCATTCCACATTCTTGTTCTATTCTCTCCATAGTGCTCCCATCTCCTAATATACCACATGCACACATGTCAGTCGCTTCAGTCATGTCTGACTCTTTGTGACCCTGCGGACCATAACCCAGCAGGCCTCTCTATCCATGGGATTCTCCAGGCGTGAATACTGGTGTGGATTGCCATGCCCTTCTCCAGGGGATCTTCCCAACCCAGGGATCAAACCTGCGTCTCCTGCATTGGCAGGCAGGTTCTTTACCACTAGTGACAGCTGGGAAGCCCCTAATATAACACATCACTTGCTTATATATTGTTTATTATGAGCAAGCAAAGCATCATGAACTCTGAGATTCCAGAAGGGAAAACCCAAGAAGTGAACCTGACACTGGCACAGGGTCCCTGCCAAGGTTTGAAATTGATTTAAGACACTTGCTCCTTGGAAGAAAAGCTATGACAAACCTACACAATGTATTAAAAAGCAGAGCCATCACTTTGCCAACAAAGGTCTGTGTAGTCAAAGGTATGATTTTCCCAGTAGTCATGTATAGCTGTGAGAGTCAGACCATAAAGAAGGCTGTGCTCCAAAGAATTGATGCTTTCAAACTGTGGTGCTGGAGAAGATTCTTGAGAGTCCCTTGGACAATAAGGAGATCAAACCAGTCAATCCTAAAGGAAATCAACCCTGAATATTCATTGGAAGGACTGACGCTAAAGCTGAAGCTCCAATACTTTGGCTACCTGATGTGAAGGGTCAACTCACTGGAAAAGACCCTGATTCTGGGAAACATTGAGGGCAGGAGGAGAAGGGGGCAACAGAGGATGAGATGATGGCATCACTGATTCAATGGAAATGAGTTTGAGCAAACTCCAGGGATGAAGGACAAGGAAGCCTGGCATGCTGCCATTAATGGGGTCGTAAAGAGTCGGACACGACTGAGCAACTGAACAACAGTGAGGGAGAGGCTGAGTGGCTGAGGAGGGTGTCCAGTAGTCTCCCAGGTCTTCAATATCTACTAGAGAGGAGGGTCTTTGCTTGTGGGTCCTATGGGGCTAGGAGTGAGGGGTGAGGACAGGGGTACCAGGTCAGTCCTCATGGAGACTGGAGCCCAGCCTCAGCCTGCCCAGTTCCTATCCTAACTGCTACCAGAGCAAAAGTAATTCCCCTGAACTGAGGTCCAAATTCAGCTCAATGCAGACCACACCTGACCACACCCATTCATCTGCATGTTGTCTGTGGCTGGTTTCATGCTATGCCTAACTAGGTCACAGAAAGGCTTAAAAAAAATCGCAGAGATACAACATGCAAATGCCATGTAGAGAAAGTCGGTGTGGCAGCTACCATCAGATGAAGGGTACTTTAAGGCAAGATGCACTGCTAGGCAAAGAGGGATGGTGTGTAAAGACAAAGGGTCAACTCACCAGGAAGACACACTGCTGTAAATTTGCATGCACCTACTAACACAGCCTCAGAATGCATAAAGTAAAAGTGGGCCAACTAATATGAAAAAGAGATGATGCAAAAGCACTGTTGGAAAGTTTAGCATTCTTCTCTTAGGAACTGATACAGCAAGTAGGAAAGAAATCAGTAAGGATAAAGCACAATGAATTAACCAGAGTAGCTAGAAAGCCAAGGAGATTTTTCTTTGGAGGCTGGGGCCTGAGAGACAACCCCCTACCCAGAGTATAGTGCCACCCAGCCCACAATCCCTACCCCAGGGAACAGGAATGGCATCTCAGTCCCCCTTCTTTGAGGCACACCTGAGCAGGTGGAACAGTCCCAGCAAGGCAGGCCCCCCCAACCCTACCCCTACCATTGTAGCCTCTCAGAGACACATTTTCACCAGCCGGGATGTGTGAGATGCCACCACAAGGCCAATGGGCAGGTTATGGGCAGGACAGAGACTGCAGATGATACAAAGCCCCAAGCCTGTTAATGTCAGGAGCAAATTATTATGGGTGACAACAAAAACTTGAATAAAAGTAAAGTGAAGAGCTCAAATAATATTAGGTTGGTGCAATGTAATTGTGGTTTCAGATCATGAATCTTAAATTATAACTAGGCTCAAACACATCTTTATTAATCAAAATAGGAACCATTACAATCAAAACATTTCTGCCAACGAGAAATAAGTTTGTTTATTCCCATAGCATAAAAGTCCGTGCTTCAGATTTGACGAACTCTTACAAAGCATTTTCTGCCTCCTGTTAGTTGTGAAAGCATTCTCCCTGCAAAAAGTTGTCAAGACCCTTGAAGAAGTGGTAGTTGGTTGGTGAGAGATCAAGTGAATATGGTGGATGAGGCAAAACTTGGTAGCCCAATTCATTCAACTTTTGAAGCGTTGGTTTTGTGACATGTAGTTGAGTGTTGTTGTGCAGAAGAATTGGGACCTTGCTGTTGAACAATGCCAGCTGCAGACATTGTAGTTTTCAGTGCATCTCATCAATTTGCTGAGCATACTTCTCAGATGTAATGGTTTCACCAAGATTCAAAAAGCTGTAGTGGATAAGATGGGCACAGACTACTACACATTGACCGTGGCCTTTTTTGGTACAAGGTTGGCTTTGGGAAGTGCTTTGCAGCTTCTTCTCAGTCCAACCACTGAGCTGGTCACCGCTGGTCATCATATAAAATCCATTTTTTGTTGTACATCACAGTCTGATCAAGAAATGGTTCACTGTTGTCGGGTAGAGTAAGAGAAGATGACATTTCAAAATGACCAATTTTTTGATTTGTGGTCAGCTCATGAGGCACCCACTTATCCAGCTTCCACCTTTCCAATTTGCTTCAAATGCTGAATGACCAGAGAATGGCTGACGTTGAGTTCTTCAGCAATTTCTCATGTACTTGTAAAAGGATCAGCTTCTATGATCCTCTCAGCTGGTCATTGTCAACTTCTGATGGCCAGCCCCTGCACACCTCATCTTCAAGGCTCTCATCTCCTCTGCAAAACTTCTTGAACCACTACTGCATTGTACATTTGTTAGGAGTTCCTGGGCCAAATGCATTGTTGATGTTGCAAATTGTCTCTGCTATCTTACAACTCATTTTGAACTCAAATAAGAAAACTGCTCAAATTTGCTGTCTAATATTATTTCCCTAGTCTAAAATAAATATAAATAGCAAGTAATGTCATTAGCNTTTGCTGTCTAATATTATTTCCCTAGTCTAAAATAAATATAAATAGCAAGTAATGTCATTAGCAAAAAAAAAAAGCAAGAAATGTGCATTATAATGATATGTAACATAACTACATTTATTTAAGAATGTATTCCAATATCAGACAGCAACATTCAATAATGTAAAACCGCAATTACTTTTGCACCAACCTAAGAGCAGAGGTGAGGGAGTGTAAGGGATGCAGAAATTAGTACAGAAGGGCACCCAGCCTGTTTTCTGAACAGATAAATGAATAGATAAATGAATGGATGGATGGATGAGCAAACAAATGAACAGATGAATGAAAAGCTGTAAATCAGGATCTGGGGAGTCAGGCACCATCTTCCTCATTGGAAAGCCACCACCATCCATTTCCTGGCTGCTTCTCTGGCTGTCAAATAAGCCATCCCGCTGTCCCACCAACTCTGAAAGCCACCCCCAAGTGTCTGTCTTCCCTCGCTGAAAACCTCACTTGCAAAAATACTGTAGCTTAGTAATTTAAGCCGTCTCCCCCTAGCAACTCCCAATAACAGCTTTGGCTAAAACTACATTTTGGGGGAGGATCAGAGGACCCAAAGGTGTGTCAGAACAGGCTGCTTCTCCCAGAGCTGATCCCTGCCCAATCCCCAGGGCCCCTGGCCTGGAGACCAGCAAGCAGCCATCTCCCTCTGCTTGTGTGGCCGCTTGTGGGGGAGGGGGAAGGCCCAGCATCTGAAGTCAGGAGGGGCCAGGCCCAGGGTGGCCCTGCTTTTTCACTGCTGCATCTGGCTCTAGCCCCAGGTTCTGCGAGAGATCAGCTCTGGCATAAAGGAAGGAAGCAGCTGTCCTGTGCAGATGAGGAAACTGGGACCCCGACACCCCAAGGCAGGGATGGGGTGCCGGGAGGGCCCTCAGGTCAGTGCTCCTGTGAGCTGCTTCAGGCCCGTGGGGAGTCTGGCTCTGCCCTTGTGGCCGTCGAGACTGAGAGTGACTGCTGCCAGGACCCATGTCAGCAAGAGCCCAAGCCCCAGGACCTTCTGAGAGTGCAGGAGGATCACCACCTCCACCAGGGCCAGCCCATGCAACCCCACAAGTGCTGGCTCACCTCCGTGGCCTGGTCTAGCACCCTCGGCCAGGGCAGTTGCGGTGACAGAGTGCCTGGCAGGAGGGTGGGGGAAATGAGGCCCCAGAGGAGGAGCCTCCCCTTTGCTGCCCTCTAGCTCCCTTGCCCAGTCCTTCCAGGATAGGTCTCTACCCTTCTCAGGGCAAGGCTGGTCCAGGGCCCATTTCTTGAGGGCTCCAGGCTGTCAAACCTCCAGGGAGTGTCCTGACTGGGGGAAGGAAGGACAAGGCCTCAGGGAGGCTGGCTGGCTCTCTAGCCATGAAAGCAAGAACAGCAGCCTGTGCAGGGGCTAGGGAGGAGGCTCAGAGCGCCTTCCCTGCGGGTGGGGGGGGTGCAGCAAGGGGGGACAGGTGTCACAGATCTTGTCCAGGCCCAGGACGGAACAGGGGGCCATTCCCTCTGCTTGGGACCTAGGGCCCGAGCTGGGGAACCTCTGGGCCAGGCAGGAAACAGGGAGGTGGGGGAAGTCGAGAGCTGGACAGGTGTCACAGATCTTGTCCAGGCCCAGGACGGAACAGGGGGCCATTTCCTCTGCTTGGGACTTAGGGCCCGAGCTGGGGAACCTCTGGGCCAGGCAGGAAACAGGGAGGTGGGGGAAGTCGAGAGCAGAGCTGGGTCAGGTACCCCACGCCTGGACCCAAGGGGCCTCCATCCCCACCACCCCAGGCGCCGAACCAGGAGAGATGAGTCAGGGTCGCACAAAGTATTAAAAGACACCTCTTTACTGTTACCACGCAGCCTCGGTGTCCCGCAGGGCGGCCGCAGCCTGCTGCCGTTGGTGGTCACTTGGTGCTCGGAAATGGCCGCCTGCACTGCTCCAGCAGCTCCTCCAGGTGGTCAGCCCGCTTCATCGCGGCCTGCAACACCCGGTACACCCTGGTCAGGCCAGGGCCACCCCCACCTCACCCCACCAGGCCGGTCAGCCATGGGGACCCACCTGGTGCTGCTTCCGGAGGCTGCTCACGGCCTCCTCCTTCTTTGCCAGGGCCATCTTCACCCTGCGGGGGAGCGGATGGTGTGCGTCTGTGCAGTGTCCGAGCCAGACCCCCAGGCCAGCCTGCAGCTGAGTGTGTCAGGGTGGGTGGTGGGAGGTCTCCACTTCCACCCAGCTCCCACCAAAGAGCAGGGGGAGCCACTGTCCAGCCCAGCCCAACCCAGTCCTGCTGACTGGGGCACTAAGCAGCCTGGAGGAGCTGAGAACAGGATCTGTGACCCCGCAGCTGACCCCATGTGAAGCCACGCCCTTTGGGAAGGGCTCCCTGCTGAGAGGAGGCCAGGAAGCCCCCCCCACATGCCTGCCTCAAAGAGCACCCACGGAACAGGGGCGAGGGCCAGAGACCTGGGAAGGACTAAAGGATCGCTGATGGGGAGGGGAGGAGAGGGGTCATCCTATTTGCACAGCACCCACTCCACCCAGTCCCCAGGGGCCAAGGGCCAGGGAGCTCCTCTCTGGACACCCATATGTGGGGCACCTGCCCTGGTTTGGGATGGCCGGGCTTCCTCCCACGCCCTGGGGCCAGCATCACACAGAGAGGACAACCAAGCCTCAAGAAGGGAGCCCCGGCTGTGGCTGACGGACGCATTCCACATCAGCGGGAAGGAGGGAGCGCAGCCGTTCACCGTCCTTGGCCCAGCATCCTCTTTGGAGCCACAGGGTCCTGCCTGCCTCCCCCAGCCCTGTGCTCCCCGGGACCCCTGTCAACCCAGCAGCCCACCTCCCGTGAACCTCTTCCAGCTCCGCTTGCTTCTCCCGCGTGAGCTGCTCCAGCTCGAGCCGCTGGCGGGCCCGCAGCTCAGCCAGCTCGGCCTTGACCTGCCGGTTCTCCTCTTCGGACGTCGCCAGCTGGTCAGCGAACTCCTGGCGAAGGACCTGGGCCAGGCTGCTGCGCTCTCCAGTCAGCTGCTCGTTCACCTAAGGGACATGGGGACGACAGGGACGGTATGAGTGGATGGCGGTGACTGGGGGCTGGGCTTGGGTGACTGACCCGCCTGCTCACCGCCTTCACGTCTGCCAGTTCCTTCTCCTTCTGTCGCACCAGGCCCTGCAGACGTACGTTCTCCCCTTCGGCCTCCCCCAGGCGCCCCTTCAGCTCCGCACACCGCTCCTGGAGCTTCCGCTCAGACTGCTCCAGCTCCGAGAGCTCCGCCTCGTACTTATCCCGGAGGCGCTTGACCCTGGTGGCGGGAGGAGCCGGGTCAGGGGCAGTCCTGTGGCCCATCTCTGGGCCTTGCTCCGGGCTTCTCGGGGTCTCACCGGTTCTCCGCGGCCCGTTCGCTCTCCTCCCTGGCCTGCGTCATGTCAGCCTCCAGCCGGTGAATCACCAGCTCAATTTCCTTGTCCCGGCCTTTCCGCATCTCCTCCTTCAGCTCCCGTTCTCGGTTCAGCAGCCATGCTTCCTGCAGGGGAGGCACAGGGGGCCTGGGAGAGGGCCAGCTGAGGGTGGACCTCACCTGTCCTCAGGGCTGAGGGCCATGTCCTGTCATCAGGACCCAGCAGGGGCCTGAGTGGGAGCTGTCGGCACAGCCTAGTTCTTCCCCCACTCGGAGACCGTGTCTGCTGCCAAACTGATCCTGATAAAAGAAGGGACCTCATCTGGCTGCTGAGGGCAGGGTGGGGCACCCACAGGGCTGGGGGGCCCCCACCCGGGGGTGAGAGCATCAATGGGGCAGCCTCTTGGAAGGCAACCTGGAAATCCCACTAAGTTGAACATGCCACGCCCTCTGACTCAGTCAAGTCTGGGAATGTATCCCACAGATGCGTGGCTGTGGGAAGGGGACACGGTGGCCACTGGGCCACTACTCAGGCTTTGTCCCCTGGTTGATGGCTTGTGTGGCCCCCGTGTGCCTTTCCACAACCACCTCCTTCCAGGACAGGAGAGCATGGTGGCACAGCCTATCTGAAGAAAGGCATGAAAGGGTAAGGAGAGACCTGCTCCCAAGTGGGCCCCTCACACTGGTTGTGGGTCAGCCTGTCAACTTTCAGAACAGTTACCTGCACAAGGGGAGGGTGAGGAACATCTGCCACCATCCTCTGGGGTCCACTCCAGCCCCCCAGTTTCTCCCATGTCCATCTAGAAGTTCACTCAACTACAACTAGAATCATACCACCAACCCCAGGCAGCCAGAACCCACACCCGCCCAAAAGGAGGCCACCGACGTAGGGCCTACAGGCCTGCTTTGAGGCTGGGCAGGAGGGAAGAGGGAAGGAAGCCCCCACTCCCTGCCCTGGCCTCACCGCCTCCCACCTCCTTCTTGGCGGAGTTGGCTTCCCACATCTGTCTCTCCACCTCCAGCTGGTCCTTCAGGGCCTTCAGTTCCATCTGGGGGCAGGCGACAGTGTAACAGCAGCTTTGCCTGGCCCCTCCCCACCCAGAGCTGGGTCTGCCAGGGCCTGGACCGGCCTGAGGTCAAGCTGAGAGTTCGTGGTGAGCTAGCTGGGGAGACCCCTAGTGTGAAACCAGGCTCAGCACAGTGCTTCAAGCAGCTGCTACCCTGGCAGTGGGGGCGCTGGTCCTGGTGGTTGCCCTCCTCCACCCCTGGGGGGCGCTTTCCTGCTAGGCGGGGCCCAGAGGGGTGGGGCGGGGGCTGGGGGCGTGGTGGCCCGGCCGCCTGCGGAGCTGCTTTCCTCTAGCTGCCGCCTCAGCTCATCCAGCTCTGCCCGCTGCCTGCAGGTGAGCCCGGGGTCAGTCCTGGGAGGTTAGATGAGCCTGGGCAGAGCAGGGCTGGGCAAGGCTAGGCCCCGCCCCGCGGTACCTGGCGGCCTGCTGGCCCAGCCGCTCCTTCTCCTCCGCAACCTCGTTGTAAAGCCGCCGCCGCTGCTGCTGCAGGGCCCGCTGCTCCTGCTCCAGGTGCTGCTCGAAACTGTGGACACAGGACTCATTGGCAGGGGTGGGGAGTGGGGCGGACACAGGAGGACCTCACACCACAGGGGCCCAGGGCAAGCGCAGCCAGGACAGGCTCAGAACCTACTAGTGGCCCCCCCGCGCCGTCCATCCCAGCCGCCCCCCAGAGCGCATCCTAGGAACTGAACTGCCTGGTACAGCTACAGCTGCCCTGCCCCTTGGTGTCCTGCACTAACCCCCCAACCCCCCAGATTTCTCTGATCCTGGAAGGAGGCCGCCAGGAAGGAGGTACTATTCACTCTGGGAGTTTGTGCACACCCCAGGCCTCGCTCCCCCACCCGTGTCCCCGGGACCCCCACCGCTGCTGGGCTCGCTCCCACTCCTGCCGGCCCAGCGCCTCCTTCTCCCGCTCCAGATGCTCGCGGAGCTCCTCCGCCTGGCGCCCGTAATGCTGCGCCGCGCGCTCCTCTGCCTGCAGCAGCTCTGTCGCGTGCAGACCCTTGAGCTTCTTTACCTCCTGCTTGTGCTTGGCGATCAGCTTCTGGATCTCAGGCTCCAGGCCTGGGGGTTGGGGGAGTACTGTGCTGCAGGGACCTATGTCCACCACTGCACTGCAGGGGCCCTGTCCTGTACCCGCCTTAACTGTGGGGGACCCCTGACCTCTGCCCATTGGGACACCAGGGCTGCGGACCAGCCAGGAGACCCCCTCCAGGGGCTCCAGCCCGAAGCACAGCTGAGCCCACCAGTGCCCACAGCACCACTTCCTGCCCGCTGCACTGAGGCTCCTCACCTGGTGCTCTGGCCTGCAGAGTCTTCCTAGAGGAAGGTGTCACTGCAGAGGAGGGTGCCCTGGGCAAGAGGGCCAGGCGTGGGCAGGCACAGCTGGGGCTGCCCCACCAGTCCTTAGAGGGCTCTCTGAGTGGGGGAGGAGTGGCAGCCATCCTCCCCCCACCAAGACCACCCCCCACCCCCCACTCCCCTGGAAGCTGGAGGAGGCAAGAAGACCCATCAAAGGGAGCCTGGCCAAGGGAAGGCTAGGCCCCCAACCTGGACGGGGCCCTGTGTCAGGATGCTGGTCTGTGGCCAAGCTCGTGTGCTGCCAGCCTCCCCTGCTCCTCCCAGCCTTGAGCCAGTGGGGCCCCATCCCTGGGTCTCACTGCTTCCCAGGAAGTCTCCACACCACACGTGCAACTGGAACTACTGCCCTCACTCAAGACCCCCATGACTGCCCCGCCCACGTGGTAGCTCCCAGCACGATGGCCCCTACCTTTGACCGTGATCTCCTTGATCTTCCGGGTTTTCTCATTGATCCACTTCTCTCTGCGGACTTTCTCCGTGGCGCTCATGAGTTCTTTGAGTTTCTTAATCTCCTATCAACAAGGAAACAGGAGTCAACAGAGGAGCTGTAGGAAGCAGGAAGATGCAAGGACACTCTGCTCCTGGCCGCCCCATGGGTTTCAGGAGGCAGCCTTTCAACAGTGACCATGGACAAAGCAGGAGGCATCAGGCACTGCGGTCCTTGTCTGACGAAAGCTGGGAGGAGTTAGTGGGGTCCCTCTGACCAGGGACCAGAGCTGTGGTAGGTCCCCGGTCACCTCCTCTGAACCCCACTTCCTTATCTGTGACACAGAAAGAGTCTCACAAGTCCCTTGGCCCCCACCCCAGGGTTGGCCACCTGCCAAGCTTTTGGGAAACAGCTAGGAGGCCGAGGAATGAGGCGCCGGGGGCTGCCTGTCCTGGGGTCCCTCCCACAGGGCCCACGAGGCCTGGGCCAGGTGGTGGGAGGGCAAAGGGCTTACCAGCTCATGCTGCTCCTGCAGCTGGGCCTCCCTGTCCTTGCGCCTCTGGTCCCCCAGCTTCAGCTCAGCCACCAGGGCCTCACACTTCTCGCCCAGAGCCTTCTTGTCTTCAATCAGCTGTGACCACGGGTGGAAGTGAGGCTGCTGCCCTGTGGGGCCAGGAGACCCAGCCTCCCCTCACCCAGGAGGCCAGCACACCAAATCCTGAGCCTCGCTTCCCTCCCTGGGTCTGAGGGAGGATGCTGGGTCCTGGGGAGCATGCACATGGACAAGGGCGACAGCTGCCCCGGCCCTCAGTCCCCCTGGGACCTGGCTGGTGTCAGCAGAGTTCGGACAGTGATGGTGCCTTGGCTACAAGGCCCCGACTATGGCCACACCAGGAGCTTCCTGGAACAGGGGTCATTCTGTCAACCCCGTCACCTGGCCTGGGAGAAAGGCCTGCCCACTGCCTGCGAAGGTGTCTCCATGAAGCCCCCAGGAGGGCACCCAGCCTCATCGAGGACTCCAGGCAGACCCCTGATTCGCATACACCTATGACCGCCAAGCAGAGTGTGGCTCATGGTCACTGGAGGCCACTCAGTTCCTCTGGGCTCTGTCCTCTCTTTACGGACCCCTCATACAGAGTTTTCCTCAGAAAAGGACCCGACAGGAGCTCAGCTGAGCACAGGGTGGGCGTGAAGCTACCATCACCCTGGCAGGGGAGCTCTGGCTGCCCAGCCAGCCCCAGCAGACCAGGGGTGGCCTCCCCAGGACATGGGGAGGTTCAGAGTCTGTCCTGCTGGATGTGTCCCCAGGCCCCCAGAGGACCAACTGGTCCTGAGTGACCCCACGTGGCCGGGCCCCACCCTGGACGTGCTCTGCCTACCTGCTCCTGCTGCCTGCCCACCATGCTGGATTAAGGAGCGTGGCCATGGGTCATGAGGGTTATGGCTGTGGGGAGCATCACTGGGGGCGCTGGGGGGGGCAGAACCGTGGGGCTGGTGTATGTTGGACCCGCCCTGGTCCCCACAGAGGGAGCTGCTGTCTGTTTCTACAGAGGGAGAAGGAGGCCCACAGGGGAGGCCTGTGGGTCCAGAAATTTCCACCAAGCCCGAGCTGGTCTAGAACCCAGTCCCGTCCTCCTCCTGACTGCCTTGCCGGGCCCCGCCTCCCAGGCAGCGCCACCTGGTCGATGAAAGACAGGTGCCGCTGTATGGTGGCCTCATAGTGCTCCTTCTGCTGCCGTAGCTGCCGGCCCAGCTCCCTCTCCGTCTCTTTGACCCTCCGGAAGGTGAGGTCTCGCTGCTGTGCCTGTAGCGGGTGCGGGAGAAGAGACGGAGACGAGGCCCTCAAGGGTCAGGCCAGGGGCTTGCTCCAGCTGGGGCCCCAGGGACAGACGCAGTGCCAGTGGGGACGTTACCAGCGCCCTCTGCAGTAGCACCATTGCCTGTTTCTTCTCCTCCACCTCCAGCTGCAGTCGCATCACTGATGTGCTGACCTCGGATGCAGGCTCCAGGCGCCCCAGCCCCTCCTCCAGCATGGGCCCCTGTAAACGTGGCTGTGTCAGGCAGGCCATGGTCACCCGCTGATGACCTGCTGTCCCCCGCTGGAGACCCCTTCCACACCTGAGGGGCTGAGGCCGGCCGGCCCTGCCCAGACTTCTCCATCTCGTCCAGGAAGTTCATGATGCTCTGCAGTTTGGCCTCTGAAAGCAGGGTCCCATCCTCAGGGGGGCCAGCGGCTGCACTCAACTTCCCAAATTTCTCCAGGTTGTCCGCCGTCAGGGAGCTGGCATCGTCCTCCTGAGTGGGAGGGGCACAGTGTTAGGCGCTGTTGGGACAGCTGAGGACTCTGGGCCGGCCTTCCAGAAGCTGCTCAGGGTCCCCCGGCCTTCCAGAAGCTGCTCAGGGTCCCCCTGGTCTGGAGGGAGGGCCTCTCAAGCTGCCCAGACCCTGGCAGGGGTTACCACTGGCAGGTACCCACCCCACCTCCGCCCCTAGGTTATTCTGAGGGTCCTAACCCTTAGTGAGCCCTGGGATAACTGGGGAGATTCAATCAGGTCCCATCTGGCCCTCGTTAGGGCCCTTACTAGAGCAGAGAGGAGCCTGGTGGACTTCCCTGGGCCCCAAAGCACCCCTGGGATCCGGATGGGCAGTGCCAGGACCCGTGGTCACCTCATCGGTCCAGGCATATTTGTCCTTGTGGTAGGCCCGGGGGCAGGACAGCGGTTCAGGTTCCTGCTCCAGCAGCTTCAGCGTGTCCAGCAGCTCATCCAGGGTTGCCTTTGACTTGGCCCTGCTCCCAGCAGGGCCCATGCCCTCCAGGCCCTCACCAGGCACGTCCTGGAGGCTGGCATCCTGCAGTAGATTGGGCTGTTACAGGCAGAGACCACCAGAGAACAGAAGGGTGAAGCTTTCTCCACATGAGCATGTGCCTGCCCAGCCATGGAGACTAGGTTCGACACTCCCCCACCCCGGGTCCCTGACCCACCTCCAGGAAAACAAAAAGGGTGGCTTGGTGGGAGGGGTCTCCAGAGACTGGAGGCTTTGGTGAATGCCTAAGCTGAGCTTCCAGCTCTTTTCTATGGGCCTGTAGAGGTGCCACCCCAGCATCCATGAATACCCAGAAAGATTCCAGAGCAACCATTGAGACCCCTGCCCTCCGCTGGATTGACAAGACCCATCCTGGGTGGCCTTTGCTGGTGTGAGTGACCCCACGGCCAGGGAGGGACAGCAAAGAGGCAGGTGCCAACCACCCCGGCAATGACGCATCCCAGAGCCAAAGGTGGGCAGGGTGGGTGGGAAGGGCTGTGCCGAGACCTGAGGCTTGTCCTCGGAGAGCTGCTGGGGCTCTGGGGACGAGCCAAGGGCAGGCTGGCCAGCATCCTCCAAGCCTGCAGTGCGGAACCTGGCCCCTGCACAACAGAACACAGTGTCAGCCCACCAGGGGGCTGCAGACGTGGAGGAGCCCTTGGGAAGAAGCCAGGCACGGGGGAGGCAGGCCTGGGGCAGCACATGCCACAGTAGACCTCATGGAGCAGTGGGGACACAGGGGAGCCCTGACCTTCTGGAGTGAGAGGTCAGGGAGCTGATGCAGCTGCTCTGAAAGGACCCTGTGTCCAGCTCCAGAGTAACTGGGACAGGAGTGGAGGAGCAGGGCCTGGTGTCTGCTGAGAGCAGCACCCCTCATTCATGAGTGTAAGCTGCCAACGAGGCAATGGCACAGGGCGCCAGGGGATGTTGGCAGAGGCTGCACCTTCTTAGCCAGGAGCCTTCCTGAGGGAGAGGGATGGGGAGGGATGGGGAGGTCTGGACAGGGGGCATCTGCCTTCAGGGATAACTCCAGGAGGTGTCACCATATTGGGGAGCCCGCACACAGAGCCAGAGGCAGTGGTGGGTGGACGGCAGGGCAGCCTCTGGGCTCTCAGCCCTGCTCACCAGTGTTATTGGCCTTGTGGGTCTGCTGAGCAGTGCTCCCTGGCCTCACAGCTGGCTCCTGGGTGGGCTGGGGCTTCTCCGTCTCCCCCGTCCCCTTCAGCAGCCCAAGGTCAGCATTGCCTGATTTCTGGGCTCGCTTCTGCTGCAGTTCCTGTCGTGGGGAGCCCCTGTGAGCAGCCGGGGCCAGGGGAGAGGGAAGCCCCTCATCCTGCCCCCAGTCACACTGCCCAAGGCCCCGTGCCCAGGGTCTCAGGGAAGGGGGCAGGGGGGCCCCCAGGAGCACAAGTGGTCTTGGCACAAGGGGGTCCTCCCTCAGCACCAGGCTTCCCACGCGGCTCAGGCCACCCCCTCACTTGGATAGCTGCCCTCCGGGCCTGGCGCGCCTTCTCCTCCCGGGCCTTCCTTCTGGCTGCCTCTTTCTGTTGGTGTTGGTCCAGGAGGGTCCCCTCTCCCAGGCGCTGCCGCTGCCCCTAAAGAAGCCAAGCCACAGTGTGTTTGACTGGAGAGATGGGGTGGCCCCATCCTGCCATTTCTCTGCCCCACAGAGGACAAGCCCCCCTCTCTCAGGTGGCCAGTGGCTCCTGCAGGTGGGAGATGGCTTTGCATCCCAGCCAGAAACCACCCCACATTTCAGCAGGGGTGACCCAGCACCCAGGTCCTGTGACCGAGCAATTCAGGAGGAAGGAAGCTGGGCCCCCAGATGAAGTGGACTCATGGGGCAATTCTAGGTTCAAGCCCACTGGTCAGAAACCCTGCCGTACACAGCTGGACCCCTGGGATTCATGCCACCCTGCAGAGTGTGGCTCACACACCCACACTGACCTCTCGCTTGGACGCCAGCAGGCGCTCCAGGCGGGCGGCTCCGGCCCGGCGCCGCTGCACCTGGTGTCGGTACCAGCGCTGGATGGTGACAGCGGCCTGGTTCACCTGGTGGATGAACCTGCCAGAGAGCGGAGTCAGGATGGAAGTGGCTGAGTCACAGCCTCCCTCCCTGGGTCTCCAGGAGGCCCGGCGGGCAGAGAAGCGGCAGTGCACGCAGCCCTTCTTCAAGTGCTGACGTCCCCCAGGGAAATGGAAAAGCTCATCCGTACAGACTATTCACAATTGATAGAAACCGAAAGGAACCCAAAGGCCCACCACCACCTGTGGGCGAACGCTGTGTGCTCCTGATGGTGACACTACTCAGAGACAAAGAGCAACAAGTCAGAGACCCTGCCAGCCGAGCACGGGAGGCCACAGGCCGGGGGTCCATGCATGGCCCACCAGGGAAAGCAAGCTACAGGGGACGGGCTGGTGTGGCCAGGGTCTTGGCCAGGAGGGGCTGGGTGAGAGGCGTATGAGGGGATCCCGGGGTAGGGGGTGATGTTGTTCTGACTACACACACATCGATTCATAAACCTGTGCCCTCAGAGGGGCATCCTGTCGTGTGTGAATTATACTCAGTAAAGCAGGTTAAACACAAAGCCTTCACCTGGGCTCTTGGGACCCCTTGTTGATTCACTTGGCAAAGGTGCTAATGGACCATACAGGATGTGAGTGGTCACTGGCCATGGGACATGCACCCAGGCCTTGCCCAGCTCCTCCCGCTCGCCCACTTTCAGGGCCCAGTTCTAAGCTCTGTTAGGACAGCCGTGATGACTGCTCAGCCAGGTGGGGCTCTCAAAGCCCAGGTGACACTATGTGGTTCCTGACCAAGCACAACATCAGAGACCTGCAGAAGATCCCACCACACCCACATCCCACCCTCCCCCGTGGCCAGATTCCAGGGGCAGCCCCATCAGTGTTCTGACCTTTGCAGTTTTATATCTTCCTTCTGTTTAGTGTTTTTTTACTTAGCAGTTTACTGAAGTGATTACATATTTATAAAACTCACCCATTCGGAATATACCATTCAATAATTTTTAGTAAATTTAGAGAGCTGTATGACCACTAGCATGATCCAGTTCTAGAATGTTTCCACTGATCCTAAAAGATCCCCTCTGCACTCCTCTGGCCCCAGCCAGCCACTGCTCTACTTTCTAATTCTGTAGATTTACCTTTTTTGAGGCTTTGTATAAAGAGAACTGTACAACGTGTGGTCTTTTCAGCCTGCATCATCTCAAAACAATTCTTACATGGACATTTCTCTCCCTGGCACCTCAGGCCTCCTCCCAGCCCTGGCTGTGGTCACCTCTCAGCCTCCTCCTCGGTCACCTCCTTCCGTCTTAGCAGGCTGGCGGTACCCCCCGAGTTATTCTGGACCACGTGGTTGCTGCGGGCCACGTTCTTCTGCGGCTTCCCGAGGCTGCTGCCCTCGCCCTCGTCTGTGGCTGCCTTGATGATATTGCTGACCGGGAGGGAGGACAAAGGTTCATGGCCGCCTGACCCGGCCCCCTCTTCCAGCCTCCAGGGGACGGCTCTGTTTGTGGCTTGGGGAGCCGCCTCGGCCTTGTCCTGGGGCCTGAAGACCCCAGGAGCAGGTGAGGTCCTGTTCCGACATGCTGGTCATCCTCAGGGTCACCTACTCCCCGACCAGGGCCCATCTGGTGGCACCCAGGGTTAAAGGGCACCACACTTAACACAGCAGGCTCGCAGAGCGGGATGGTGACTTGGGACCCACAGGCCGTCCCTGACCTGAGCATGCTATGCACTGAACACACGGGTGAGGGACTGGGGCGGGGCTGCTCTGCTCAGCCTGTTCAAGGTCCGCCTTGGCTTCGGTTTCAGGTGGGGATTGGAGACTTGGGGGGCAGCTGTGGTTTCCTCAGTGGAACCCCAGATAAAGATGAGCCTGGGCGTGCCTGTGCAGCCTTACTTGAGGGAGGGAGCCGTGTGGTTGGAGCTCTTGGGGGGCGGCGGCACCTTTTCTGAGGGGGTGTAGTGGTTGTGCACCATGGTGGTGACGCAGTTGCCCACGGCACCCTTGTTGCTCCTGCCGGGAGAGATGGGGGTGGGGGTGGCTTCAGGCTCTGGAAAGGACCCCCCCATTCACATAGTTGGTGCCAGGGCTCACTGTGGCACTGTCCCAGTGTGCCAGCCGGGCCCCCTCCACGGCCACCACGCCCAAAAGTGGGGCCCTTTTCAGGACCCAGGGAAGCTCCATCAGGGTGTTCTGCCAAGTGGAACCCAAAGTGTGAGGGTGTAGCCAACGCACCTGTTGTTGGCGGTGAAGTTGGCAGCCAGGGGCACCGTGCACTCTCTCCTCCTCGGGCCCACTGGCACGTCAAGGGCTCCAGGACTCTGGGCATCAGATGGCAAGGTAAAGGCCCTGGGCCGGTCATCCTGTCCGTGCACACAGGCAACAGTCCATCACCCTGCTGTACATGCCTCTGACGTGGGGGCCCTGCCCTGCCCCCACTGCCTCACCCACACATGGGGAGCTGTGAGATGACCCAGGGGCTAGGACAGTCTTTGCTCCTCCTCACACTGACCACCATGGTCAAAGCTGGCTAACTAACACTGATGCCCCCTGCCCCCCACCAGCCCATTCCACAGGGCAGCGAGAACAAAGTCGGAACCAGGCGTCAGCCCCAATGAAACAGAGTGACGGCCTGTCGACTCAGCTCAGCTGCAGCCTCACCAGCACATTCCACGTGGCTCCCTTCTCACTGGAGGCTTTGCTCAGACTGGCTGGCCTTTTTCTCCCACTGGGGCTGCCCTCGAAGAGAGTCAGGAAGTCTGGGGGCTCTGCCGGCCTGAGTCACAGAGGGGATGGCAAGCAAGGTCAGTCACGGGGCCCGGGGAGCCCGGCTCCAGGAATCCAGATGACAACTTGTCTTACGAGGGGACAGGAGGGGCCAGGTCACTGATGGGATCTCCCACTCCGAAGCTTGCAGCATGAAATATCACTTCTCAGCCCCGCTCTGACAACCACGCCCAGAAGAGGCGCTCACACCCTGTCCTGTGGCCACCATGACAGCCCCAGGGAAAGCACAACAAAGACCAGGGAGCAGGCAGGGCGGGTGGGCAGCAGCCTTGAGGTTCACATCTCTGCGAGGGAAATGACAGGCCAAGACTCATCCTGCCTGCCTTGCCCCGGGCTGGCCCCCCTGTCCAGCCAGTGCTCACGCTGGTGAGGCTGGGAAGAGGACTGACTGAGGCAGGGGAGAGCAGGATGGGAGTACCTGGGGGGTCAGAGGTTACCTGAGGGGGCTGGGCCACGCCTGGTTGGCTTGTGGTTGGTTGACCTGCGTGGCGCTATTAGATCTGCGAAGGTTGTTGATGGCCCGGGAGCCTCCGGGCCCTGGGTTCTCCTGCAAAAAGGAGAGAAGCAACTGACCGTGTGGCTGAGGTTTCAGACCCTCGCGAGTCCACTCAGGGCCAGGCCAGGCTTGCACACAGATTGAGTGAGAGGCTCTCCTGGGTCACAGGTAGGCAGGTGAGCAGGGGGAGCAGGTGACAGGTGTGCGGGGGAACACCCTGGGGGCCCTGGGTTTGCCCTGCAGAGGCGGGGCAGGTCCCCGGCCTCTCACGTGAAATGGGAGTGCCTCACCCCTGGCAGGTGGAAGGTCCAAGGGGAGGCGTGTGATGCCTGCCCAGGCACCACAGCAAAGGCTACCGTCCTCCTCATCACCTTCTCACCAATGAGCCTGGTCATTCACTACTCACGGCAGCTCTCGTCCCAAAGTTCCTGCTGCCGTCCAGCTGCCCACCTGCCGCCTACTGCCTGCCCTGCACGGGGAGCTCCTCCTTCCCCACACATCAACCTCATTTACAGAGGAATCACACAATTCCAAATGTTGCTGTAACAGGAGGGATGGAGGGCTTGGCGCTGGCAGGATCTAGGCTCTATGTGGGGCCAGGTGACCCTAGCAGTGACCTCTTGGTGAGTCAGCTCCCTGGTCTATGAGCCAGAGTCCTTCCTGCCCCCGGATAGCCCCAGGGATGAATGTACAATGGACACGAAGGTGCCTGCCAAGGTGTGCAGCTCACCCAGGAGTCAGACGCCACCCCAAGACAGGGGGCCCTGAACAGCCCCCAGACCTGACATCCAGCTCGGATACTCACCAGCGTCTTCCTCCTTGGCTCACTGCCAGTGACCACGGAGATGGAGCGGGTGATGGGCTTGGTGGTGGAAGCACTATTGGGGCGCCGGTTCATGGGTGGAGGGAGGCCTGTCAGACTCAAGTCCACACCTTCCAGGCTGCCCTCGGGGCCGCTGAGAGCCCTGGAGCCTTTCATGGTGGACAAGTGGCCCTGAGAAGAGAATAAGGGAGGTGAGGAGGCATCCTCCAAGGAACCAGGTGGTGCACACACCCTCTCCAGCTCGGCCGCAAGGGCCCAGGGCTGCGGGTGTGAGTCTGCATGCCACTCAGCTCCCCAGAGGCCTGCCGTGCCCACCACCCTTGTCGCTCGGTGGCTGTCTCCTTATCAGGAGCAGAAGTGAGTGGCAGAGCAGGACACTGAGCATTAACAGCAAAAGGAGGCCCTCCTGGGGTCAAGAAGACCCTCCCTGGAAGGGCACTGCCGGGGGTGACCCTGGGCTGCTGAAAGTCATGGGTATGAGTCCCCATTCCGTGACAGGAACTCTACCTGCCTGGGCCACATATTCCTCATCTATAACATGGGCCTTCAAAAGTGCCTCCTCACAGGATTATCATGAGGTTCAGACAAGACGGCCATGAGGCTGGCCTGTGGTTAGCACCCCACAGGTGATTTTCAAACTGGAACTTGTTAAAGCCCCTAAAGTTATCTGGCCATGGAACACCCTCTGTCTCCTTAGAACCATCCAGAATACCCACGAGCTCCTGGGAGGCAGCATCTGCTCTCATGTCCAGGTTCCCCTCCTCCCCTCCTAGGGTGGCACTTCCACAGTGTCCCTTGCTGGCCCTTCCCCATCCAACTGCTCAGCCCTGGGCCTCTCCCCTCTACCCTAGGGGACAGCCTCTGGCCTCCTGGCATCAAACACCATCTCTGCACGGCCGGTTCCCACAGGCATAGCTCTCACCCCCTTATCCTCTAGTTCCCGGCTTAGCTGACCATGCAGTACATGGCACCTCAGACCCAAACAGACTTCTGACTGCCACCTCCAGCTGCCCCTCCCCAGCAGGCATCTTCTGAAGCTGGCTTAGACCAAAGATTCAGGTCTCATCCTGACCTGTTCCTCCTCTCACCTCCGCACCTGCCCCCTCAGGCACCCAGCTGGTGCCCCTTTCCCATCAGTCCCTTCCCTCCACAACCCCTGTCTGAGCCCCCATCTCCTCAAACTGAACAACAACAGCACCTCTCCTCTGGCCCTGCCTGACCAGCCTAGCATCTCCCCACACAGCAGCCTCAGCTGATCTTTCTGAACCGGGTCTCAGATCAGAGTGGGAGGACACTCAGGCAGGGGGAATAAAGTCACCAGACCTAGACTGAGAATAACACCCCTCAGACCTGACCCTGCTCTCTGTGACCTCCTCACTGCCTCCCTTTCCACCTTTGATCTGCTTGAGACCCTTCCCTGGGATGTCATGAGCACCATCCCCTCGCCACCTTCATGCAGAGGACTGCCTGTCCCTGTCACTCCTCACTCCCTCATCCTGCTTCACTTGCCTCTCTTGGCCACCTGCCCACCTAGGTTTGTCTGTGCACTGCCTGATGCCCTCGTAAGAATGTAAGGTCCATGAGGGTGGGGACTCTGCAATCCCAGAATCTGGCATGTGGCACGTGCTCAGGTAACCAGAGGAGATGAGCTGGCACCAGGAGTGACCAGAAAGGAATAAGCATAGCCCTCCATACCATGGAGACTCTGGTGCGCCAGTGGGCACACACCATCATCACCCAGGGTCAGCGCTGCAGCCTCCTTCAGCCCCAACACCCACAGCAGAGGCTTTGGCCCCTACTCTCCAGAGTGAAGGCAGAGGCTGTCCCTGCCACTCACTAGGCCAGTGTCTTCGGGTATGTGTTTCCGGTAGTGTGAGTGAAATCTAACACCCTCCTCTCCCCTCAAGGCACCAGCCACACCCAGCCTAACTGGGTCCACTCGAGGGGCTGGCACCCTTGAGCAGCAAGGAGTGTGGGGGGCTCTGGGATGGTAAACAAAGACTCTCCGTGGAACCCTCCAGATTAGACCTCATCTTGCATATAGAGGTGTCCCTCCCAGGATCTGAAGGTGGTGTCCAGAGCCTCCACCTGGACCCCTCAGAATGAACTGTCCCAGAACCCCAGGAAGCTTCCCTGCGGGTAGCTCCCCATGTCCCTGGGGTTTGGCTCAAGGTAGGGAGATCATCCTCCCAGGAAGGCGATAAGAGCTCACGGGCCCTGGGGCATGAGCCCCTCCTCACCTGTGTGGGGGCACTGAGGGACCCTTACCTGCACCTTCCCCTTCACCTGGGCACACTCAACTGCACAAAAATCCCCTTCACCTGCATGAACCCTTTCACCTGTGTCAGTGCCAGGCCCCCTCACCTGCGCTGGCCTCCCCACCTAGGCGGGCCCAGGACCACCTCACCGGCACGAGGCCCACTCACCGGCACGAGGCCCACTCACTGGCACGTTCCACCTCACCTGCACAGCCCGCGATGCCCCTTCCTGCGCGGGCCAGGGATCCCTTCATCTGCGTGGGCCAGCCCTTGTGCGCGAGTCCTGGACCCTTTTCACCTGCAGGGGCCACCCCCAACTTCACAGGGACCCTCTCACCTGCGTGAGTCGGGCCTGGACTCGGGGCCTGTAGGACCGAACGGCGAGGGATGCGCGGAGCCCTCCAAGTGGAGACACGGGGAGCCCAGGCTTCGGGCCGACGACCTCGGGATCTCACGCCCTCGCGCCCCCGGCCCCGGCGCTGCCAGTGTCTTCGGGTATGTGTTTCCGGTAGTGTGAGTGAAATCTAACACCCTCCTCTCCCCTCAAGGCACCAGCCACACCCAGCCTAACTGGGTCCACTCGAGGGGCTGGCACCCTTGAGCAGCAAGGAGTGTGGGGGGCTCTGGGATGGTAAACAAAGACTCTCCGTGGAACCCTCCAGATTAGACCTCATCTTGCATATAGAGGTGTCCCTCCCAGGATCTGAAGGTGGTGTCCAGAGCCTCCACCTGGACCCCTCAGAATGAACTGTCCCAGAACCCCAGGAAGCTTCCCTGCGGGTAGCTCCCCATGTCCCTGGGGTTTGGCTCAAGGTAGGGAGATCATTCTCCCAGGAAGGCGATAAGAGCTCACGGGCCCTGGGGCATGAGCCCCTCCTCACCTGTGTGGGGGCACTGAGGGACCCTTACCTGCACCTTCCCCTTCACCTGGGCACACTCAACTGCACAAAAATCCCCTTCACCTGCATGAACCCTTTCACCTGTGTCAGTGCCAGGCCCCCTCACCTGCGCTGGCCTCCCCACCTAGGCGGGCCCAGGACCACCTCACCGGCACGAGGCCCACTCACCGGCACGAGGCCCACTCACTGGCACGTTCCACCTCACCTGCACAGCCCGCGATGCCCCTTCCTGCGCGGGCCAGGGATCCCTTCATCTGCGTGGGCCAGCCCTTGTGCGCGAGTCCTGGACCCTTTTCACCTGCAGGGGCCACCCCCAACTTCACAGGGACCCTCTCACCTGCGTGAGTCGGGCCTGGACTCGGGGCCTGTAGGACCGAACGGCGAGGGATGCGCGGAGCCCTCCAAGTGGAGACACGGGGAGCCCAGGCTTCGGGCCGACGACCTCGGGATCTCACGCCCTCGCGCCCCCGGCCCCGGCGCGGACTACGAGGCCCGGTGACAATGAAGCGGTCTGGCGAGCGGCGGCAGCTAGCAACCAAACAGCCTGGCACCTCCTCCCCGTCCGTCACGGAGGCCCGCCTTTCCTGCTCGCGCCTCTTCTGGATTGGTCCTCTGGCCGCCCACTCCGGACGTCCCGGGAGTTCATTGGGTGACTCGGCTGTCCTTCGAGAAGTTCAAGCATGGGAGGAGCCGCAGGGAGCTGGGGTGGGGCCTGTGGTGGCGGCGGGCTGCCGATTGGGTATGGCCGCGGGAGGCGGGGTCTCAGCTGCGGTGGGGGCGGGCCCTAGGCGGAGCCTCTGAGGAGGGGTGGGCGAGGAGGAGAAAGGGGGGCGGTGCGTAACGAGGGCAGTGGAGCGGGTAGCTCCGCGCTTCTTATCGTGGGCCCAGCCAGCCTTCCGGGCTCCAACTCAGTCTCAAGGCCGGGCCGTCCCCCTGGCTCCCATGCCGTCCCACGGATCCCACGCGGTCCCCGGGCTCTCGCGCGGTACCCGAGCTCCCTTCTTGCCCAGACCCGTCTGGACACCTGGGTCCAGTTACCCTCTGAAAGCTCCGTTTTTGGGTCTGGACCCGCGAGTCCCAGGGAGGCCCGCCTGTTAAGCTGTCAATAAGGGGCCCTTCCTCGGGCGACCCTGACACCTACCCTCACCCTTAATGCCCGCTCCTCTCCTTACAACCCAAGACCGCGCGGTGGCGGCGTTGTCCCTTTTTTTCTGTCCTTTTCCCGTCTTGACAGTGCCATCCCTTTTTCTTTTTTTTGCCTCCTTCTCCGAAGTTTTAATCCCCCTCAACCGCCTGGAGGTTGTTTCTTATCTTTTCTCCTGTCCAGACCACTGTCCCCGCTGGCAGGACCTCTCCTCTTTGACGTCCCACGTGTTTCCCTACCTGCACTGTGCGTCCTTCTCAGCGCACAGGTGGACCCGGCACACCCAGCTCAGCGCTACACTGTAGCTACGCTACACCCCTATCTGTGATCCCTTCAACAGGAAAGCCCCCTCTCCTCCACGAAGATTATGGCCTCGCCAACATTTTTCCTTTCAAAATAACAAATAGCACATTGCTCATTTTTGTCCCATTTTTATAAATCAAATACTATTTTTACTTCAAAAAAAATCCAATTTATATCAATAAAAATCATATTTTTAGGTGTACAGCTGAGTTTTGACGATGCAGAGAGCTGTTTAGGCTTCCCTGGTGGCTCAGACGGTAAGGATCCCCCTGCAATGCAGGAGACCTGGGTTCAATCCCTGGGTTGGGAAGATCCCCTGGAGGAGGGCATGGCAACCCACTCAAGTATTCTTGGCTGGAGAATCCCCATGTATAGAGAAGCCTGGCCGTCTACAGTCCATGGGTCGCAGAGTCGGAATTGACTGAGCAACTAGGCACACACACAGAGCTGTTTTACCACCACCACAAACAAGGCACAGCATTTTCTCTCCTCTCCCCAAACCATGGGCTGCCTTTTTGTAGCCAAATCCTCCCCACCCCTTGTCCCAGTCACCACCAACCTGTCGTCTGTCAGTCTATCACTATGGTTTTGCCTTTTCCAGCGTCTTAGAAATGCAATCCTGTAGTGTGTACCATTTTGAGTCTAGTTTCCTTCACTTAGTCATGTGAGTCTTCCCTCTTCCTCTTCATTGCTGACTAGTATTCCACAGTATGGGTGAACCATCCTTTATTACTCAGCAACTCAAGGACTTATCGGTTGTTTCTAGTTTGGGGTAATTATGAATGGAACTGCTGTAAACATTCACTTTTAAACATTTGTGTGAACTTAAGTTTTCATGTCACTTGGGCAAATACTTAGGAGGGGACTGCTGAATTGTATGGTAACTGTCTAAGATACTGCCAAACTTTTCCCAAAGGTGATGTATCTTTCTATTGATGCATTCTCACCAGCAGCCTGTGAATTCCATTTGATCCCCTTTGGCCTCACACTTGGTATTACTGGATTTTTAAATTATTATTTTTAAGTAATACTAACAGGTGTCAGGACTTCCCTGGTGGTCCCATGGTCTTTGCAATGCAGGAGACACAGGTTTGATCCCTGGTCAAGGAAGATCTCACAAGCCTTGGAGCCAACTAAACCCACACATTGCATCAAAAGATCTTGACACAATGAAGAGACCGAATGCTGCCAACTAAAATAAATATTCTTAGAAAATACTAATAGGTGTGCAGTGGTATTCCACGTGGTCTTCAACGGCATTTCCCTAACAATGTTGAGAAACTATCTGTGTGCTTCTCTGTTCGATATCCATATACTTTCTTTGGCAAAGTGTCCATCCACATCTTTCACCCACTTTGTAAACTGGGGGTTGGTTTATGATTGAGTTTGGGGTGTTCCTTATATGTTCTTGATACAAATCTTTCCTGAGAGTTGGGATTTGCAAACATCTTCTCCAGTCTGTGGCTTGTCTTTTTGTTCTGTCACTCAAAATAAAGTTCTTCAAGTTTGATGATGCCTAGTTTTTCTATTACAGTTTGCGCTTTTTCTCTCTCACAGAAGCCTTTGCCTAATCCAAGGACAGAACATTTTCTGCTCGGTTTTCTTCTAGAAGTTTAATTTCTAGGTAGGTTTATGGCTCACTTTAAATACTGTGTAAGATATGAGAAGGGGCCAAGGTTCATTCTTTACTTCCAGTTGTTTCAATATGTGTTTTCAATATGTGTTGCAAGTCTATCCTTTCTCCATTGAATTACCTTGACACCTGTGGAAAACCAACTGACCATACCCGTGTGGCTGTCTCTGAATTGTCTATACTGGCCCACTGATCCATGTCTAAACTTTCATGCATCCCACAGTGTTGACTAATGCTTCCTGACAGTGTTTTCAAAGCAGGCGCTGTGAGTCCTCTTTGTGCTTTTTCAAAATCACCTTAGCTATTCTGATTGCTTTGACTTTGGTTGTAGCTTTTAGGATCAGTTTGTTTCCATTTACCCCCCCCCCCCCAAAAAAAAATCTAGATGGGAATTATGTTAAATCTGTAGATCAATTTGGGGAAAAATTGACATTTTAACAGTAAAATCTTCCAATCTATAAACATAGTATATCTCTCCATTTATGTAGGTCTTCATTGATTTCTTTCATCAGTCTTTTATATTTTTCAGCATACAGATCCTGTACCCATTTAACTTATATCTAATTATTACAGGTTTTGGATGCTATCATAAAGCACCTATTTTTGGCCACACTGGGTCTTCACTGCTACGTGTGGGCTCTCTCTAGTTGCAGGGGGGGCAGGGGGTACTCTTCCTTGCGTTCTCACGGTGGTGCCGTCTCTGGTTGTGGAGCACCGGCTCTAGACGCATCGGCCTTAGCTGCTGTGGCCCGCGGGCCCTAGAGCACGGGCTCAGTAGTTGTGGCACGGGGGCTCAGTTGCTCCATGGCATGTGGAATCCTCCCATACCACGGACGTCCCAATAACAGATTTTAAAATGTAAATTTCCAATCATTTATCACTTGTATATGAAAATACAATTCAGTTTTACTCAACAGCCTGTGTTCCTGCTAAACTCTTTAGTCATAGGATTTTTGTGGAATCTATGTGCTTTTCGACATAAATAATCATGCTTTCTGTGGTTAGTAACAGTTTTATTTCTTCCTTTGTATTTGCCTTTTCCCCCATTGTTTCATTGAAGTGGCTGGTGCTTCCAGGACAATGCTAAACAAAAGTGGTGAGCGTGGACATTCCCGCCTTGTTCCCAATCTTGGAGGGAAATCACTCAGCCTTTTGACATTAAGTATGGTGTTGCAAAGAGTTGGACACGACTGAAGCAACTATGTATGCACACAAGCACCCAGTCCATCCCCTTTACTGGGTGAAAGAAATTGTTATATTTCTAGTTTGCTGAGTTTTTTTTTTTTAATCATGAATGTTGAAATTTATCTCTTGCTTTTTTCTGCGTAAAATAATGTGATTTGTTCTTCTTTAATGTGTTAATATAGTGAATTGCACTATTTTCAGATGGTGGACCAGCCTCCCATCCCCAGAAATAACTCCACTTATTATGATATATTTTTTGTATGCGTCTGGATTTGTTTTGCTAATATTCTGTTGAGGGCTTTTTCTTAAAAATCTATGTTCATGAAGGAGACTGGTCTGTGGTTCTCCAAATCAAGTGCACATGGAACATTCACCAAGATACGACTCTATCCTGGGCCACTAAACAAACTTTAGCAAAAGCTTGAAATCTTTATAATGAAAGTTTTTTATGTGTGTGTGTGTTTTCTATGTACAGTAGATAAAAGTTTTATTAGACTGCAGAATGTTGTTTCATGGAAATTAAGATAAACATGTTTCACACAAGACATTTTGCCATGAAGTGAAGTGAAGTTGCTCAGTCGTGTCCGACTCTTTGCGACCCCATGGACTGTAGCCTACTAGGCTCCTCGGTCCATGGGATTTTCCAGGCAAGAGTACTGGAGTGGGTTGCCATTTCCTTCTCCATATAATGAAAGTCTTATATGTTCTCTTACAATATAAAAATTAAAGTACTAATACAAAACACGTTTTAAAATAATCTATCAGGACTTCCCTGGTGGCCCAGGGGTTAAGACTCTGCATTTCCACTGCAGGGGGCACGGGTTTGAGCCCTAGTCCAGGAGGTTTCACATGCTGCCTGGTGCTGTGCCCCCCCCCAAAAAAGTCAGACAAAAAGGAAGTCTTATGGGAAATTAGAAAATATTTTGAACTGAATAAATACTAAAATGTTATCAAAGTTCATGGGATGTAGCTAAAACAGTGTCTAGAGGAAAATGTATAGCATTAAAAATGTTTCCATTAGGACTTCCCTGGTGGTACAGTGGATAAGAATCTGCCTGCCAATGTAGGCAACATGGGTGCGATCCCTGGTCTGGAAGATTCCACATGCCACTGAGCAACTAAGCCCATGAGCTTAGTTGAAACTACTGAGTCACAACTACTGAGCCCATACTCTAGTGCCCGCAGCCGCTACTACTGAGCCCACAAGCTGCATCTACTGAAGCCAGTGTGCCTAGAGCTTATGCTCCACCTTGAAAGAGACCACCCCAATGAGAAGCCCATGAGCTGCAAAGAAGAGTAGCTCCCACCCTCTGCCACTAGAGAAAGCCTTCAAGCAGCAAGGAAGACCTACTGCAACCAAAAATAAAAATTTTTAAATGTTTATATTAAAAAAGAAAAAAGGTCTTAAATCAATAATCTAAGCTTTCACTTTTAAAAAGCTAGAAAAAGAAAAAAAATCCACAGCAGGAAGATTGAAACAGTAAAGAGCAGAAGTCAATAAAATACAAAACATAAATCAGTAAGAAAAACAAAACCAAAAGTTAGTTCTTTGAAAAGGTCAATAATATCAATAAACTTCTAATCAGACTAACCAAGAAAGGGGGAAAAAATTAATATCAGAAATGAAAGGTGGGACACTATAAAACTTGGAAGAACAAAACAAAAAAAAAAATTGGAAGAACAAAGAAAGGCTGAAAAAACTCTATAGCCATATTCGCAATGGACCAATTCCTTGAAAGACACAAATTACTGAAACTCATGAGGAAATAGATAACCCAAATAGTCCTAAATCTACTTAAGAAATTGAATTTTGTAGTTAGAAACTTTGCAATTAAGAAAATTACTGGACAAGATAGTTCCGTTGGAGAGTCCTTCCAAACATTTAAGGAAGAACTAATACCTGTCCCAGCTTTTAGAAGTCTCTACCTGTGCCCCTTAGTGCCGTTTTCTCTCCTCTCTCACACACACAGATAGAAAATGAAAAAGCAATCAGTGCAGCTTCCTGTGAACAGCAGTGTTTATGTGGGAGGTGTGACCCCAGGCCATCCCCAGTTCTCCCCAGAGCAACCACAGCCCTAGCTCTGAGGTGGCTGCACAGTCTGCAGGCAGAGGTCACGGGAGTGGGGAGATGACACGGGTCACACAGGGACCTGATGCTGCCCTAACCCTACCCAGACCCTAATCCTGATGGACGAGAAGGTGGGAGGCTGCTTACAGTACCCCCCTCCCCCAGAGGGAGGGATCTGAGCTCAAAAACAAAGACCCAAGCAGTGGTTCCAAACTGACCCAAAAAACCCTTGTTTCTGAGGGCCAGGAAGGCAGGGGTTTCCCCAGGGGACCCCAAGGTCAGTGCTTGCAAGGCTCTGTGCCTGCCTGCCTGCTGCTACAGGAATTCAAGTCCAAATGGCCAGTCTCTGGCCAAGGAGACAGCAGGGTTGGGGTGGAGGAATGAGTGAGGTGGCCCTGGGATCCTCCTCTCAGGATTGTCGCCTGGAAATAGCAGAAGCTTGGCTGGAGGCCGGGCCTGGGCTCAGCCTGCAGATGGGTCCTCTCCGTCTTCCCCTGGTATCCTTCTCTGTGTGCCCATAAGGATCCCGGGGACTCGGGCCAGTTCCAATGGGTGTGGGGTCTCCAAGCTCAGTCACCAGGCCTCTCCCGTGAGCTCCCCTCCAGTGCCCTCTGAGCAGGCCACGTCATGCTGTCTGCCCCACTGCCCTCCCTTCGTCCCTCTGGAAGATGGGAAAAGTGGACGGTGTCCTCATCCCGCCAGAGCAGATGGCCATGAGGCGGGAGATCCGGCACCCCAGGGCCCACTGGCTGCCAGGCTTAGCTCGTGCTCGGCTCCTCTTTCTGGGCCTGTCCTGTGCTCCCTGCAAGTCCTGCAGAGTGCTTGGGGACACTGCTCCTGGGCCATCAAACCCAGAGGGCAGGCTGTAAGAGGGGGGTCCTGCCGCCCAGCAGAAAAAAACAGGAAATCCACCTTAGGGGCAAAGTTGAGGAGCAGCTCCCATGGGCACCTCATTACCGCAGTGGTGGTCTGGCTCTGGCTGGTGCATGGACTAAAATATCACCTGGGTTTTACTGGCGGCCATTCTCATCCCTGGCAGGGCAGGATGGGTGAGCCATCCATTCTAAGCTCGGCTGGCTGGGTAGCTGCTCACACCAATGCCTCAGTGGGTGAGGAGAAGAGGCCAGGGGAGGGCAAGGCTGACCACAGAGAGGGGAGTTGGGGGCTGTGGGCATAGGGGACAGCACAAAGTCACAGGGTCCTGGGAGTCACGGGCCAGGGAGCACACAGACTGCATGTGGCCCAGGCGGACAAGATCACGAGTTTAAGAATGCGAAAGCTGACGGCTCAGAGCCGGAAGGCTCTTTTGCTGCCAGCCTCTGTGACAACGTCCAGGGAGGCTGGTGGGCTGGGAGGGGATCCTCTGCAGCAGTCCCGGCCCCCATCAGGCGGGGACAGGCCACCAGTTCCATGCCAGCAAATAAGGAGCTGCAGCTGTGGCCGGGGCCCAGGCTGATCTTTGGCCCTCCCTTTGGGGTGTCCATGCAGAGTGGGCCCTGCTCAGATGCAGCCCACTGGTCTCTGGAACCTGCCAGCCTGGTCTCAGCCTCCCTGGCAGCCCCAGGGACTGGAAGGGGGCAGCTCTCTGGGGACGTTGGGGGCACAGGGCTGGGCTGCAGCCCTGATGGGGGCATGCTGCCCTTGGGCGAAAACAGAGCTGAACTCAGAGGCTGTAGGAAGGCCTGGCCCCCGGTGAAAGGCAGGGTGTCGGTCAGCAGGTCTGATGGGCCCACACGGGCGGCTGCAGGGCTAGGCTCGGCTGGGGGCCTCCGGGCAGGGGGCCACTGTCGGCAGGAGGCTTCAAAGTGTCTCAGGATCTGAACAAGGGAAGAGGGGAACTGGTGAAGGCTCTTGTGCTCCTTCAGGAATCATAGAGGACAAGGTCCTCCTGGGTCCCCTCCTCAATGTCACTGGCCAGAGCATGGGGCAGGACCACTGGCCGCTCACAACAATTCTGTCATCCCCCGGCAGTACCGCTGCTGCTCTCCACCAGCTGTCATACAAACAGATGCTTTCCCCCACATCAAGCTGCTGTGTGGCCTGCCAGAGTGGAAGAGCGCCCCCTCCTGGTCAAGTGCCACACAAGCACCTGACACACGCAGAGGGAAGAGATGTGTCTGAAGCACCCCCAACCGCCACCCAAGTGTTATTCCGGATAGCTGGACTCCTGGGTCCTTCTCAGGCTTTAGCAACACCATGATGTGCCCTCGACGTGTTTCATGTGTGGCAGGTTCACTAGTGCTCTGATGAAGAGCGGTTTAGAGACAGGTGACTAAGGATGTGAATTGTCCACTGCCATACAGAAAACTGGAAGCTAAGAGAGGCCAACAGCAGGCCCCAGAGAAGACTGCAGGTGGCCTCCCCATATTCATCAGAGGAAGAGGACTCAGACAGACAACCATTTCTGCCCTCCCAGAATTGGGGATATGGGAGCAGAGCTTAGACCCATGACACAGAGTACAGAGCAGAGGAAGAGAGCGATCCAAGCAGTCAAGGAGGGCTTCCTGCAGGAGGAGGGCTTCCTGGAAGAGACAGCCACAAGGGAGAAGGCACTGCCCAAAAAGCAGATGTGCTGGGCAGAAGGTCGGGGAAACCTGGGGAAGGTTGGGGAAACCTGGGGGTCCCATGTATGGGAAGAGGCCAGGCTGCCAACTGCCGTTCTAAGGACATGACCTGTGCCAGCCGCAGGAGTGGGAGGAGGGACATGTCTAGGGAAGGCAGTGGGGGCGGGGGGAGGGTGTGGGATTGCTGGGGTGTCCTGTACCCCCTCCTCTGGGCCCTGAAGGCTGCCCACCTTGGTGGCCTTGTTGGTCACGGGTCCGGGGCTGCCCGCACTGAGCTCCTGCAACCGAGGCCGGGCGAGGAGCAGGACTCGCTCCTGAGAGAGCAGGTCAGTGCACCCGAGGGAGGCGATGGCACCCAGGGCTCTCTGCAGGGTGGGTGGGCTTGATGTCAGCTGGGTTCCCCACCAAGGGAGGTCTGTGTGACCGGCTCCCTCCCTCCCTCCTCTCGGCCCTCAGCAATCAACCAGACAATCGACTGGGCATCCTGTGCTCACTCTCCCCACTCCCCGTGCCCGGGCATACCCCCAGCCCCACCTGCTGCCCTCCTTACCATCTGAACACGCTCACTGGTGGCAGCCAGGTGGCGGATGAGCAGCTCCAGCACAGCCTCACAGTTGAGGAGGCCACACCTGCAGGAAGGGGGCACCGCACAACAGGGCTGGGGCTGTGGCGCAAGGGGTGTGTGTGCAGAGCCAGGGTGAGGGATGGGGGTGAGGTGCGGGGACAAGGGGGCCCTGGAACGGGTCGGGGCTCACTCCTTGACGAAGTGCTGCACCTCCTCTCGGCTCAGGAAGGTGTGCTGCCCCCGGGTCACGGTCCGGACCAGGCTCAGCTCCTGCTGGCAGTCACTGAGGGTCACAGCCTCAACCCTGCCAGGTGCACACGGGGCAGGACAAAGGCTGGTCTCCCTCGCGCCCCCTCCAGGTCACCTCTCCCCTATCAGGGTAGGGAAGGGAGGGGCGCCCTCGGGTGCTGGATCACCTTTCTGCCAGGTCACTAGGTGCCCGGCTGGCCCCCGAGGGGCTGTCACTGCCCGATCGACTGCCCGAGTCCGAGGCCTTGCCCAAGTCATCGTTCTCCTGGGAAGACTCCTGAGAGCTGGGACTGCTGTCCAGCTCATCCCAGCCGCCTCCAGCCTGCCCGGGCTGGTGTCTCACTGCTGGAAGAAACACCCACTGAGGGTTGAACCCTTGGGGGCCTCAGATTGGCCCCACGTCCGTCTCCCCAGGAGCCCTGGATGGGAAGACCCAGGGAAGAGCCGGTGGGCTGGGTCCTGGGATGTGGACACGGTAGCTGCCAGGGCGCCAGCTCCAGAAAACACCACCCGAGAGGAAACAGGGCAGAACACGGCACACCCTCACTCAGGGCCAGGGTGGGGGGTCCGCACGGGACACGCCTGCCCAGAAGACACAGATGCCAGACGCCAGGCGGGTGGGAGGCCATGCAGTGCCAGGGCAGTGGGGACAGTGCCCAGCAGAGCAGCTCTCAAGTCCCGGTAAAAGTGCTGACATCCTTCTTCCGAGCCAGGCAAACGGGACGGTGCTTCTGGGAGAGGCAGAAGTGGAGGCGGAGGGCACGGGCAGTCATCGCTCCCTCCCATATCACGGCGCACCACTAGAACACACACGGCATGGAGCCTGGCCCTGCGGAGGGCTCCCCTGTTGCCCCTGGGCCCTGATGGGCTGCAGAGCTGCTTGAAGGCGCTGGGTGAACACATGAGAGCTGGGGATGGCTCCTGTCCCAGCTCTAAGCTTCTGTGTCTGAGCAACCGGGATCCTGGGCAGACCCCACCTCTTGTGGGGCCGTAATACCCGAGCTCCCACCCAGAGCAGGCTGACAGAGAACACTGGACATGGGGGTTGAGGCAGGGCTGCCCTAGTGCACTGCCGCAGAGGCCGCAGGGAGCCGAGTCTCGTGGGCAGCTGGCTCTGTGAGCTTGTCACATGCTGGTTCTGAGAGGTGTCGCGGGACCCGCAGGGTGGGGCTCCTGCCCCTCACCCCCACCATGGATGCGCTGCTTTCTTCCTCCTCCCTTGTCTGCTCCCGCCTAGCCCCAGCAGGTGACCGCAAGCCCAGGGCCTGGGGAGGGGGAAGCCAGCGCCCCAAGGGAGGAGTCCAGCTCGATACCTCTCGCTCCTGGGCTGGCCATGGGTAGAGGGCTCCCGGAGGCAGGGGTGCTGAGGCTGGCTGAAGGTGTCACAGCCGGCTGGTAGGCGTCACCCCGCAGAAGGGACCTCTGGCAGCTGGGGCTCTCAGGCCCAGGGCGCACGGCACTGGCCACCACCTCTGCAGCTTTCTGGATGGTGGACAGGAAGGCTTCACCCGCGGAGCCTGCAGCAGAGAGAGGGGAGACGGCACAGACCCCTCAGTCCCACCCTGTGTTCCCGGGATGAGGTGCCCATGGCTGCTCCTTGCCCAGGACCCAAGAGGTTGGGACACAAGCTGCAGTCACAGAGCACAGGCTGTATGGAAGGACAGGGCCCTCCCAGAAGCATCTGCAGTGAATTCACTTCAATGCATCCTGGCCCCAAGGAGTGTGGATGAGCGGCAGCTCATGGCAAAGCTGTGCCCTGGCCCTCCTGTGTCCCCACCTCAGAGCACGGGGCCACCTGAGGTGGCTGTCCTGAGAACCACAATCTCCCTGGCCACTTAGGGAGCACTCACATCCAGTGCTGGGGGCTTTCCCAAGGAGTGCCCCATGGAGGGTGACCTGGTGGTCACCCCCAGGTTAGGAACAGGTGGGCTCTAAGGCCAACCCACTTTAGGAATCGTAAGTGCCGAGGAACTAGGAGCCACGGATGGAGTGGCCAGCATGTCAGCTGGACCTGGCCCAGAGCCCACAAGAGGCTCACACGGCCCTGAAGGGCTTCGGGCTCTCCCCGCAAGCAGGGCCGGCACCGCGCCAGCTCCAAGTCAGCTCTGTCACAGCTGGGACCACTGCCCTCTGTGCTCGGCTCCCTGAAGGAGCCCAGGGCTGACACCCCAAGTGCGGGGCTGGCTTCTCACCAGTCAGGTGAGGAGAGCCGACTGCACCTCCCCAGCCGCCCCAGGGTGGCAGAGAAGTCAGTGGGGGGCACACAGGCCCACCCGCCCCTCGCCCGCAGCCGGGCCCCGGGCCCTGCAGCACTCACCTGTGTGACCCCGCTCCTTGCTGTAGCCAAAGCCCTGCAGAGTGCTCTGGGGCCTGGATTGGGAGCCCATGCCTGCGGGGAGGCCCACGTCAGCAGCAGCGGGGACCCGGCCCTCAACCCCAGACATTTGGGGAAGGAGAGGCCCACCCAGAGTAACCCAGTGACAGGGCTGGGTGTGCTCGCGTACCTGCCGGAGGCAGGGTCCTGGGAGGCTGGGAGGGAGGCGGAGGTAAAAAGGCGTCCGAGTACAAGGCAGCCCCCAAGTCCTAGACGAGGCAGAGGGCACTCAGCACCACACACCCATGGTCCCCCCCACCCCTCCTCCCCTGAGGGCCACTCAGGGGCTCCGTCCTGCAGAAAGAGTGGAGCCAGGGCCCTGCACGGGGAGAGCAGGGAGTGACCTGGGTCCTGGGCTCACCTGGGCGGCCGCCCGCACCTTCTGGTACAAGCTGTTCCCGTGGAGAGGATCCGGGGGCCCGGCGAAAACTGTGGGACAAATGGGAGCAGAGCTGAGCTGGGCGATGCCAACCAGCCTCAATGCCCACACCCGACACAGGCAGTGAGCCTTGGCCTTGCCCAGCCCCTCTTGAAGCCCCCAGCTCAGCCCCCTCAACCAAGTCCCTGGGGGCTTCCTAAAGCAGAGGCACTGCCGTCCTCAGGCCTGGGGTAGCTGTGCCCTCACAGCCCCTCGGTGCCCCTGGCCCACACCTCCCACACCCGCAGCTGTGAGGCTGCAACTCAACCTCCAGAACACCAGGACCATGTCAATGTGCCACTCCTTATCACGGCCTGAAAGGTCTCCTGCTCATAAAGCTNGGGGGGGGGGGGGGGGGGGGGTACCTCCCCGCCGTCCTGCCACAGCTCCTACCCTCCTTGTGGGAGTCACAGGGACCCCCCGCCAGGCCCCCAAAGTTGGGCCACCCCCCTCCTCTCACCTCCAGGATCAGCTCCTCTCATAGCCCCATCTCTCTGGGCACTCATCCTCTGAAGACAGTGCTCAGAGCTTGAGAGATGTTGGTGCTAATAGAGAACCACGGTCCCCCTCTGCTTCCTTTGTCCTCTTTGGAGGCCAGGACAGAGGTGAGGCCCAGCACTGGCCACAACCGTGTAAGGCGCACAGCGGGACAGGCCCGTTCTGACCCTCCGGCTGGTGAGGATGAACCAGCCATGCTGCTTCAGTGCACAAACTCCGGGGAGCTGGGCTGTGACGAGTGTGCCCCCAGCCCCCTGGACGCCTCTGGGCATCTGTCAAGTAATGATCTGTGCCCCCTCCGAGGCCACTCCCTGTCTCCAAGGCACCCGCATGGACCCCAGGGCCCACGGGCAGCCCAGCCCCGGCCTGGCCTCAGTGCGCCTGCAGTAAAGGGAAGACAGTGGATTCGGGGTGCGGCAGGGTGGGATGAGTCCAAGCACCTGGTGGGTGGGGCACAGTGAACTGCTGAGGGTCTCCGACAAGCAAGCGGTAGACAGAGGACTCAGTCTCCTCCGTGGCACCGCCCTCTCGGGGACAGCTTGGCGGGGTGGGTTCTGGCCTGAAGGCCAAGGCCTTCCTGTTCCATTTGCCCCACTCAAGAAGACCTCAGGCCACGTCCCCCCACCAGCTCTTATTAACAAGAGACTCATGAACACCTCTGGTCCGGGGTCAGGTAACAGACAGGGCTCTATCCCAGACTCACCTGTCACCTGGATCACCACAGGCCAGGGTCCCACGTCTCCCAACAGCCTCACTAGTCCGGTCCCCCACCCTCCCAGCCCTTCCAAGAACAGAGGGGTTCCTAGGGTCCGGAGGAGAAGCCCTGGGGAGAAGAGGGAACCCAAGGCAGGGACAGACAGGAAAGGTCCAGGCCGCTAAGACAGAGCTCATGGACAGACACCAGTCATTCTGCACAGTGTGCTGGCCTGGCCTGGCCGGGACAGGGGGAGGAACTGGCAGCGAAGGACAGTGTGGACGGGGGAAAGAGGGGTGCACAGGTACGGGGCGGGGAGGTGGGGGCTCGGGTTAAGGGATCTGGCCGAGACCTGCCCTGGCCACCTTCCTCCCCACGCCTCCCACGGGCAGTGCTGGCCCGTACCCGCGGCCTCCTGGATGAAGGCAGGGTTGCGCTTCAGGATGAGCAGGAAGGATGAGGAGCCGTGACCACACAGGTGCAGCAGGATCTTCAGCACCTGGGAGAGCAGGGACGGGGGTGGGGCAGAGCTGGATCCACAGAAGGGTGCCCCACCCAACACAGCCCCCGATGCCCCCAGCTCATCCCTCCCCTCCAGCCGCACCACAAGGGGCGGGACGGGGCCCTGACCTAACCCCCGCACAGGCCTCTGGAGCCGCTCGGACTCACCTTGAGCTTCACGCGGCCAGAGCCGCTGTGCAGACGGTTCAACAGGTACTCCAGGAGACACTGGCTGCTGCCCAGGGATTCGTGGGAGATCTCTGGGAGGCGCTCAGTTAGGGAAGGGGCGAACTAACCCCAGGCCACACAATGCCCTGGCCAGGGAGAGAAGCCGGGCCTTCCTGCCATCAAACTCCTCAGTGTGGCCCCCTCCACCACAGGCACCCACCCCAGGCCCTGGTTTCAGAACACCCAGCTTCTAGGGTCTCCTGAGCCTCATGTCATCAGTAGGGTGACTTTCAGAGCCCACACACCTAGCAGCTATGGGAAAGGAGCCAGGGTCCCCTCAGGATAGGAGAAGCCCAGGACTCTGGGAGATGGGGTAGGAGAGGCTACAGGGCCCCCAGATGTATCCACAAGGAAGGATACTGGCAATCTCCTCAAACAGGTAGCCCGGACACGGGACATCGTCATCCGACGTTCCCTTCAGGAGAATCGGTAGCTGAAAGGGAGCGAGAGCCCAATCCACAGTGAGTGGCCACAGGAGCCCTCATTCTTGGGGATCTGTTTCCACACAGTTTATAGTTGGCATGCCACAGGGTCAGGGGACCCAAAGAGGACAGCAACGGTCCCACTGGCCACAGACAGCCTGCAGAAGCCTCCCTTCTAGAGGCCAGGATGAACACCTGGGAAGAGGAAATGGATGGTGGTCTCCATGGTGACAGGCCCTAAAGGTCACGATTCAGCATGGCCCGCCCAGGCCCCTACGCCTACAGCCACACAACTTAAAAGCATCTTTACCAACTTACAGACTGGCAAAAAAAAAAAAAAAAATCC